TTTTGGAAAACTGGTTTTACAAATTAATTATCTCTTAAATAGCTTTTGAGCTGATTTGCCCAGATTTTTTTTTTAAGTGTTATATAATAATGTTCTGAGTATATTGAATAATAAATTTGTATTGTCAAATATTAATATCACAAGTTTGATCAACATATACTTGCCATTTAAGGTTACGTTATTATACAAATTGGCGATATTGCCTAAAAAGTAACCAGCCAAATTTGTATTACAACTCGGCTCCTTAGCACTAGGGATGTTAATGGTCAGTTTGATTCAGTTTCAGTTTTAAAACTGCAGTTTTCAGCTGAAACTCAACTGACTGCAAAACTGACTGATAAAATCGAATTGCAAAACTGATCGCAAAACTATTGCAAAATTGAATGAACTAGTGTCAGAAAGTGTTGATTATAACTATATTTGACAATGTTCCTTAAAGTTATAACTTTTTTTACAATAATAATGTCAATTTTGTAATTCTTTCAGTGGAATGAAAAAATTACATGATCGACGTGTAAAAGATAAAATTTTTATTATTTCAAAAATAAGAATGCTATATATATAAACATCAAATTCATAATTTTTAATAGTATTCTCAATAAAATCAATAAATAGAACCATTTTTTTCTTTTGGAATATATATCAGTTTTTTTGTCAGTTTCTTTATATATAAAACTGATGGTTAACCGATTGGTCTTAGGTTAAAACCGAACTGCAACTAAACTGGTAAAAACTAGTTATGATCAGTTATAACTGAACTTTTGGCATTCCTACTTAGCATGTAGCGTAGCTTCCAATATTTCCAATATGCATGATATTCAGAAAATCATAAAATCATATAAAAAATTTTATCAGAAATTAATATTCTATGACGCGATTTAATTAATGTAAAAGGGGCAGAAATAATATTCAGTCAATTCATATTTTTCAAAAATGAAGGTACAAAATGTTCCAAATTAGCATTAAATTCCTTTATTATATTCAGAAATAGAATCAATAAACAATTTAACTCTCAAGCAGCATATATTAGTGTTAAAAATTAAATTTTATTCAAAATACTATTTGACCTAATGAATACATTTATTTCATTCTCACTATTATCTGCATAATAATCAGTTTTAAAAATACAGAAATTATAGAAATGCAGAAATTTTTCTACATGAAAATAAATGTTAACGCTAATGACTAATGCGTCAATTTAATCCTAATACACTTGCTAATAACTAAAATCGAACGTCACGTTACATTGGGGTGCACTATTAACTATGTAAATCAAAACTATATCAAGTTATATAATAAAAATTATTAATTAAGGATTTTTTATAATAATAACAATAAGTTAAAAATTTTAATGTTACAATAATGAATTTATCAATGCAAATATATAAATATAAATATATATAAATTAAATTTAATAATGTTAATTTAAATATAATTTTTTTTTAATTTAGCAAAGCATAAGAATTGAAGTGATATCAGGTCCAAATAGCTGAGGCTGTATTTTCTGAAGTGACTCATTTCTTTGTTTTTGCACTTCCTTTAACTTGCCAAATTTTCTTTTGAAATTTTATCTGGCGACAAACAGAGTTTTGACTGTTTTGTTCCTTTATTTGAAAACGATGTTTATATGATTTGCAAGTACACATTGTATTATATTCACATCCAATTAGATGTGTGGCTTTAACTATTCTGTACTTTGAGAAAAAAAGCATATTAAGATTAAGAACATGACTTTATTAGAGTTACGAGGCCATTTTGTGTGTTAATAATAAAATACCTAAAAAAAATCAGACCTCAAAAAAGAAAAACTACTTAAAATTTCAATTGAAAAATAATTTACCAGTAAATGTAAAAAATAGCTTCATAATTTTGTAAAGATAGTTTGAAGAAGCTAATAAATGTGAAAATATTTGAGAAAGAAGAAATTGTTCGATCTGTGCATCTAAAAAAAAATGTGGTGTTTTTTATAGTAATTTATTATTAAAATTTCGTCTATCAAATTTAGACTCTAAAATATTAACTATATAAAATCTTAGGCGAATTGATATAGTTTTGATTTACATAGTTAACAGCGCACCCCAACGTTACATGGCATAACCGATGTTAATACTTTCAGGTTAATTTCAATAGGTCCCTACAAAAAAGTAAAAAGAAATGTTAGAAACGTCTCATACCCACTTACCACATGACTTAAAATTTATCGAATTTTTAGGAATAATATAGTAGTTATGGACAATTTTGTTGATGCGAATTGATCACATATATTTATCTGAATATTAGTGAGTTCGCTAGATGATATTTATATTTTATACGAATTATTCGGTTTATAAAATTAACCAATAAAAACATAGACATAACATGCTATAATAATTTAAACTGATTTTACAATGCTGACAACTAATATTTATAGATTCCTTAAGAATGGATTTTACTAACCTGGAACGTTATGACTGTAATATCTAATCGTGCATCTAATGCTGCGCCGCATTTATCTCTTTTTTTTTCCAGTTACGTCATTATGCCATTTCATTTGGATACGGGGAGTCTCTCTGTGAAACAATTTATTTTTTTAACAGAAACGTTTCTAAATTCTAACGTTAGTGAATTTGAAAAATATGGAACAGTGATTAGTGGACTAAAGGTTATTTCCTCGGAATCTTAACTGAGCAAAATCAGTGCAACTGATAAAGATGAAAAGAAATTATATAATTTATTAATAAAAAAACGTAAGTTACCGGTTACTATGTCATATACAAATTTATAATAATGAATCACTTGATGATAATAAATTTAGAGAAATATGATTATTAGATAGATTAAATTGATTGAAGGTATAATAAGCTTATCAAAACAAAAAAAAAGGTATTATTAACTGAATAAATGTATATATATAATAAAAGGATCCTCTTGACGGTTATATCTTAATGACATGAATACAAAAAATTTTAGATTTTACAGTATATTTAAAATTTATAAAAGTCTTTATGCTGGTGTAAACTTATGCTTAGAGTTACGTCCTAGTCTGTCTGTTACGTTACGTCACTAAGTTTACGCATCTCCATTTCGGTTCTAAAAGAAAAACTTGCTGATTACATGTCAGGCCGCGGAAGCCATCTTTGAATCAGAAAATTAGTCCATATTTTTTACCATCATTAGTCACTGGCTCACTGCATATTTACAGTCAAACCTTTATATAACGATATGTCGGGACATATATGAAATTTTTTAGGAAATATCGTTATATCAAAGTTATACCGATATTTATGTCCTCACATATAGTGGGAAAATAAAATTTTATCGGTATATTAAGTTTTTAATAGTATATCGGTATATCGAATATCGGTATATCGAGGTTAGACTGTACTATAAATATCACGTGCTCGTGCATAACCGCGCCCAAAAACGGAAGTACACGAAAATATTTTAAACACAGCGAGCTTATATTAATACACGGCTTAGAATCGAGACAATTATTTTGAATATTGTTTAGGTCTTTCTTGATATGTTACGGGTTAAATAATACGTGTAAACTTTGCCACAAGTCCATTCTTGCACAGGTATAACGCGAAATTACGTTAAAGGTTAAACTCAACGAAGTGAATAACATTTTAAAAAATTGGCAGGTGGGTAAACCATTTTTAATTGTGAAAATATTGTAACAGAACGTTCTATAGAAGCTTGAATCGCTGATTCGTGGTCTCGTTCTATAATACCTAGATTGATAAACTGTGTGCAAATTTTCTTGATTATATTTTGGTTAACCCCGCCTTTCCATTTTTTTTAGACGTTGATAAAAATAAAATCAGTAACGATCCATAATTTTATCCTTATAAAAATGGATCCGTGGAGTTGGTGCAGCGACATTATTTTTAAATTTCCGCGCATGTGATTGATTGAATGTAGATAGGCGCGATATTTATAAGAGCGCATATCAGATATGACTTCATAGGTTTGCGGACAAAAACTAAATTTCCAACACTGCCCGTGTGATGATTGAAACTTGACCCCGTCTATGTATATTGAAAACATATGAAATGGGTCAAGATTAAGGTACATGAAGTTGCGCTGGATTGTAGTGATTTTAGTTAGGCAAGACAGCTTCACCGCATTGGATGGAGGAAGGCCAACTTCCATTCAATGGCTGCCAAGGATCTGTAGTAAAATGGGCGAACTTTTCAGTTATACCTGAATATATTTTGGTGATTGGCCAAGCATCAAACGCATGTCTACTTGACTGTAGAGGATCATTCATACTTGCTATGGATTTACATTATCTTTCTGATTGTTTTGTAGAATAGCTAAAATTTAAAAACGGGAAGTTTTTCGTTGCGAACTTATTGTTTTTTAGATTTATTTTATTTTATCCTTCAAAGGTGAAATCTGGACTAACTTTGTGTAGAATAACTACTAGAGGTATTGTTTTTTTAGATATTATGGCCGAATTCCTAGTCATATCAGATATGTAAAACATAATAATATTATGCTGCGGTATCTTTATATGGTTCTGTTGACTTATTTTATCGTTAAACTTAACTTTCTCTTTTTAATAAGTGAAAGTTGTTCTCCTGCTCATACCTACTATTTTAATAAAACTAACTACAAAAAATTGATTATTAATATCTCTTTTTGAAGAAGGATTTTCTTTCTAGTTCATTTGTAAATATCTAAATATTAGCGAATTTTATATTAATACTGCCTATTCACACCTTTTTGAATCATGTTTTAATCGTGGATTTATTTCTTTCTAATCCTAACTCTTTTCTTGTTCACGAAGCTGCGACTTTGTGTTTATGCATTATTTACCATAGAAAAAGTATTCAATTTTTTGTACTCCAAAAATTTATCAAGGTAATAATATAGACTTAATAGATTTGTTGACATCATATCAGCGATCGATGTTTAGGAAATCATGTGTGATGGACCAATCAGTAGTAGTTTAGTTTGCAAATATATATATATGATCTGGATCTCTAATATCTCATAAAATAAAAATGAGAGGGATAATTAATCATTTAACAAAAAAATCATTAGCATCATCTAGAGTTGGTCGTATTCACTTAAATTTATTGGTGTTACATCGTTCAATAAGGACTAAAACATTTATTGAAGATAAAAATTATAAAGGACTTTATTATCATCCAACGATCGATACTACTAATTATATGCTGTCATTTCTTTCTGATAATGATAAAGTTAATAAGCATGCTGATATAGCTGTTATAGGTAGAATTCCCTTTGATTCAGAAATTGATGATAATAATACTCCTAAAATTACAACACAAAATTTTATTGAAAATAAAAAGTTTACCCAATTTCTTCAGCAAGTTATTACCGAAAATGTTGGTGATTCCGATCCACAATTACAAGCATTGGCTAAATATTATCAAAACGGGTAAGTTATAGTATAGAGAGTAGAGAAAAACAAATTAATGACGATTTCTTTTTAAGATGGTTAACAAATGACATTCTTTTGATTTTAATCCGATAATTTAAAGATGGCTTCATGTAGCAGGTATTTCAATCATTTGATTTTACAAAGAATATATATGTATATATATATACTCTAACCCCTTGAATAATAGATGCAAGAGATCCAGCGGTATGGGGTCGTATTCCATATCCTGAGGATATTTTTGGTATGGTTCAAGTTAAAGATGGACAAATTATTCAAGGAACATATCAACCTATGCCAACTCATCGTATAATTACTACAAAAGGACTTTTTGTATTAAGTGATCCTTTACAAAAAAAATTATTAGAGAAGTTAATTAAGTTGTGTGTTTAATTTTAATAAAAATTTACATTTGAAATATAACTCTTACCTAATAAGAGTATAAAATTGTGAAAAAGTAAATAGCTTTTTAAACGGCTATGACGTTTATAAAAATTTATCAGCATTTACATTGAAAAAAAAGAGAAAGTTCTGATAATAAGTTGTTTCTTTTGAAATTACGCATAAAAATAATATTTATTGTCATTTACTTAAATTACTATGGGCGTAGTATCTTAGATTCGATAGTTAATTATAAAATAAAATGGCACGATATAGCCACATAAATTTCTTTTAATATAAAATGTCATTTGCAATTAACATTCACGATGACTAGAAAGAATTATTAATCGAGATGCAATATTGTGGAAACTCACATATAGTCATTTGAGAAATTCAAGGAATTAAGAATTGTATAAGATTCCTGTCATAAGATACCATGCAATCATTTCGCGTAGTTATTAAAGAGTCGTATCAAGAATATAATTGGATTACTCGGCTCATGTAAGTAGGCCAGCTGATAAAACATCATTGCCTACAAGGGCGACTATAATTTTGGCCTAGAAGTCCTGTTAATTCAAACGTACGCCATTCCCTTCTCCTAAGCGTTTCGTTAACATAAAATGGCAATAATGTTTGTTGTACTCCTGCTTCAAACGTACTAGTATACAATCTGTTGTTACGTCGGATATCATGAAATTATAAATAACCTTCATTATAATATGAACTCTGGCCTTTATTCGAAAAATTTATAAATTTCAAAAATATCTCGAGCCCATCTTTTATCTCCGTTCCCTTGTTTTTAAGTTGCTCAAACTTTCTTTTCATCAAAAGAAATTTACTCTTTTTATATACATAACATGTCAACTCAACATTCTTACAAATTAATTTTTTCAGCGCCATAACCATTTTTATTCAGGTCGATATTAATCTTGAAATGGCTAGTTCTTTAACAAGAAATAATAATAGATTTATTTCCTGTAATAATTCTCCTAAATATATATAGTCAAATACATATTCAAACCTTAAAGTCGTTGCCATTTTTTGTAAGCCGGACTGTCACAATCCTTGCCGATGGACTATGTTGGTAGTTGTGACTGATTAATTGGAATTTGATCAGTATCAAGCATAGTTTCGAGAAATATAGTCAAAATTTAATCATGTCCAGAAATTCACCTTTGTAAAATGCGTTATTGAAAACAACTTCTAATCCAAAAATTCATCAGATTCGGATCTAATATCAGTGATATGTTCGAAGGCACTTCTGGATCGATTGCTAAATATATTCCCATTATGTTATTAAAAATTTAAGAAAGCTAATTATTTCCAAAAAATCTTTGTACTTGACAAAGCTCTTTCTCGTACATGAAAGAGTTTGAAACGTTTCGCCTTGACCTGTTTGAAAAAGGTCCATTGCTAGTTAAAATGAAAAGTCTCATGAGACTGACTAGCATGATGGAGGTTCTCCCTGATTGGCATAAATTTAAACAATCAACGCGAATTGTTATTGGCTAAAATAATGTACACAAATTTGATCCATCAACTCAAAATATAAATACTCACGTGTCCTCATTTTGAAACAGGTTTATTTCAAGTATGGTGGGCGTAGGCAAAAAAAATTTTGGACCATGTTCAATAGTAAACTGTGTATATGAAAATATTTCCTTTCGCTTAATTACAGAACTTGCATACCAGAAATGTTGCGAGAACAATATGCTAGAAATGTATCCTTATCTTGAAGTAGGAAAGCAACTTTGTCATTCACATTATTGTAGTATAGTGGAACCTAACCGTGGGCAATATAAGCGAAAGAGAATAAAAAACCAGGAATGTAGTAGAGAAAGTAGTAGGAAAAGAGTTAACCATATTGAAGAAACTAGGGAAGGAGGTAATATATTTGACATTAAACTAAAAATAATGTAAAAATAATCTAATTTTTATAATAATTTATTTATTTAGCCTTAATAAATGATCCAACATTTGCATCAAATGTAAAAACCCTAACGAGTGTGTTGTATAATAAGCAACGTCGGGAGTCTTCTAATTTGGAATTGGATCCAACACAATTTCAGCATATGATTGAAGAAGCAAATCCTGAACTTAAAGGATTCTTTCCTTTAATGGTAAATACAATTATTCCAAGAGATCGATCAGCTCATAATAAATTGGAGGCTAAAAAATCAATTGTAGCATTATGTTACATAATTGCTGGTTTACGTAACAAATTTGTCAACCAGTTTAAAATAGAAGTCGGGTTATATCTAGCAGCATCAGGAGCTACTTGGGAAGCTATTGATACAATGTCAAGTCTCGGATTCTCAGCATGTGGTAAGACAGTTGCAGATTTTCAAAAAAAAATTCAAACAAACCATACACTTAAAATTGAGAATCATTTTTCAGAAAAGGTAAGCTTTGATTTTTAATAAAAAGAGTTTTAGAAATATAATAATTAAATCTTTTTTTTTAATATTAGGGGAATTGCTTACACATTTACAATGTAGATGATTACCATGCTATTCATGAAAAAAGAAGGCCAGATACAGTATCAACGTCAGTGGCAAAACATTTCACTACTTGTGTCGCAAAACCCGTTGTAGAATGTCTTGCAGTACCACTTACATTTAATGGTATATCTATTCACAATCCAAATAATATTGAAGCTCCAAGGATTTGTTGGTATTTACTCAACAAATATACTGGGATATTTGATGTTTCATATACAAATCTTCAAGAACATCAAGGTATTAATACTTTTGATCGTATTGAACTTTTAACAGTTCATATTTATGATGATGCTATTGCAGAACGAAAGGAAGAGAGGTCAATGAACGGGCTACAATTAATTGGTCTTAAAGAACAGAATTTGCATTCAATGCAGGATTATTTAAAAGCATTACAAATAATTTTAGCTATAAATAAAAAAACAAAGCATTTAGAAAACCAAGTTGCACCAATTGTTGCAGATTGGCCTGGACAACTGTTTATTAGAAAAGCATTAACACATTTGCATATGTCAGGATTACAATCTGCTATTCCACAAGAAATTAAATCATTTATACCAATGTTAGGACCACTTCATCTTTCTCTTAATAGTAGAGAACATGTTATGATAATTTATTATTCTTTTTTTGAACAAATGTTTCATTTTGTATTTGGTGAACGTAAAAAACTAGCCAAAAAACCTAAACCATGGCGAATAAACCTTCTTCTAGAACTTGCACGAAGTGGTTGGCTTAAAATTAAAAATAAAATTATGCAAAAATTTGATTCAACATGCAAGGATGTTGAATATCGAACAGCAATTGATTTATTGGATAATTTAATTCCCGCTACACTTGATGTTTATGCAATTTTATTTAGGTCTGGTTCATTTGAAAAATATGTAGAAACTGTATTTCGCATCTGGACCTTTGCATTACGATGGAAAAGAAAAAATTACAATAAAGCTCCTCTTGTATTCTTATCAGATCTATTCTATTGGCAGGATACCCATCATCCATTTGCTGATGCGATCGAAAAATACCTATCATGTTTTAATGATTATTATGTTGAAAATGCTCATAGTCGAATAAGAGCAAATACATCATCAAATGCAACCGTTGAAAACATTATAAAACAGGCCTATGTTATTGGTAAATACCAATATGTAATAATTGTAAAATTCAAAATTAACATGTTTTTTTTTAATAACAAATAGCAGACCATGATCCAATATTTAAAGATACATATTGTAAAACTCGTCATTATCCATATAGCCCATCTAAACTCGATTTTCTATCAGATAAAACAAGCCTTTTTCTGTTAAAATACTTTCACAATATATTTTGCAATCAAAACAATAGTATTCCGGTATATAGCAATGGAAAAAAAAAGAAACTAAAGGGGTATAAACTAGCTACCTTAGGAAAAGAAATAGATTTGCGCCATTTACCAACAGCATACAGCACATCACATCCACCACAACTAGGATTATGTGACTATTGTAAACTTCAAATGAATGATGATAGTGTAGTACTTGTCTGTGGCCATGGTTATCATTCAGCTTGCTATGATAAGAGGTGTGTTTATTGTGAAAATTTTTATAAAAACGGTATCTATGAAAATGTAAATGCATTTTTAAAAAGGATTGAAAAAGGAACAGATATGCTTACACAGGATGATCTAGATAATGAAATTATTGAAGATGAGGAAGAAGGGACGGAGGAGACAGATTGTGAACAGACAGATATATCTGCCGCATTAGCACTAGCAATTAACAATATAAATTACTGGTAATAGTGAATAATGTAAAATAAATTAGAAATGTAATAAAATTTTTTCCTTATTAAATAACAATAACAATAATAAAGATATTGCTCTTTTTTAAATTAACCTTTATACATACATTTATGACAGTTACATAATCAGTTACATATATATTAACGTTATTATATAAATTATATATAATACAATAGGCTAAATTCGCGTCTAAGGTAACTTTCGCCAGAATAGAGATCATTAGAGATCAGTTTCTTGTTACGTTAGAGTAGTATGGAAGAAACGTTCTTGTAAAATTTCATGGCAAACAGGCGCGTCCTTCATGTGATGTAATATGACCATCGTAAATCATATATATATATTATTGTATACACTGTATAAATAGTTTGTGTAACTATAAACATCATAAGGGACTTCCATCATGCTAGACTGACTAGCTTCCAAATTTATAGTATACGGCTTGATCAGCAAATCATGTGATTCTTAATTTTGGTTTATTTTCCCATCAAAAAAGCTCGGGCACGTGACCGTGAAAATATTCGTCACATCGTCACACCGGCCGAGTTCACTGTTTATATATATCTGAGGGACTTAGTTTTTTTCGAGTAAGTAAAAATTATTCGTCACGCCCTTATTCGTCACTGTTTATTTTCACGTGTTAGTGCATAACGCCGTAATGCGGGCCAAACCCGAGCTTTTTTGATGGTGTAGCTGGGGGAGTTCTTTGGTTTCAATTGACATTTTTTCTTTTTTGAACGTTTATTACAACTATAATTTAATAAAAATTCCATAATGTTATATTATCTGATTTTAATAAATTCTTCAAATGCTTTATTGATATTTTTCCAATTTCCTTCAACACAAAATCCGTTCCATCTTTCAATAAATATTAATATTGCCAACATTAATTTTTGATCTCTGGTCTGTTCAAGAGTTAATAATGCATAATATAATTGTTGAAAAATACTCGGAAATAAATTAAATAATGTTTGTGTATTCTTACGTTTACGTGATGATAAAGAAGTTGATGATTGTAGAGTTGTAAGTATCGAATGTAACTGGATAATCAATATTATGATTTAGATAAAATAATTTAAAATAAAGATTTTACAAATAAATTACCTTTTCAACACCGGCATTAGCTTTCTTAATCACACCACGTCTAAAATTAATAACTTTGGCATCATCTTTTGTATAATTAATTTCATTCCAGTATATGGCTTTTTTATTGTTTTTTGCCTTCCCAAGTTTACACTTATAAAGTCTTGAACAACATTCCTGTACTACTAAATAAATGTTATCAAGTTTCACAACATCTTTGAGAAAACCATATTCAAATAAACTATGATATTCTGAACTACCATCAATAGTAATCCAAGGAAATTCAACCCAATTACCCATTATAAACCTGCCAGTTTTTACCATCTCTTGACAGACATTCCAACATTTCCAAACATTTGTAATTACTTGAACACTTTCTTTCCACAACATAGAAATAGGATGAAATCTAGAACGATAATTGGATATCCATTTTTCGTAAGATTCAATATCTATAGTTTGAATAAAGCTATAATCCTTGTTGATTATATCTTCATCTTCATAAATCAATGATATCTTTGTTTCGTATTTATTCCATAATACTATTAGAAGACCTATAAAATAATTATACAAGGGACTAGATAGATTAAATAATTCAGGAGAAACAATTAAATGATTTGCTTCTCCATGAGCTACTCGATCTCTTAACCTAGGTCCATCAACATGAACAAATAGATCAAGAAGTAAATCCTTCATTATTACAAGTGAAAAAAACTTAGATTATACAGTAAAATTTGTAAATTCAAATTAATAAGTATTAGTTCACTACATACCATTATACCACCTCCGAGTTCTGAATAAATTTCATTTATTTGCTCTTCTTCTTGTTTCTCTTCTTTAATTCCACAAAAGGCCCATGCAACCTTTTCCCCTAAGATAATATCTAGTGTCAAAAAATATTCACCAGTTTCCACTGTACACATTCGATGTTCTTGCACATCTTTGTTTACACAAACATAAATTCTTCTTAGGCAATGTTCAAGAAGTGGTAACGCAAGGACGAAAAACAATAGAACTTGATTATTAGATAAATAACGGAATGAGCACAACCAGGTTGGATAAGTTCGTGGGATTACAAAAAAATTTTTAAAAAGTAGAAATTCCAGAATCATATGATGAGGATATTGTGGAGGGGATGCTTTTATTTGCGATATCAATGAAGATATGTTAGTTTATTACTTCTTATAATATATATTAATAAATGATGAACATCTTCAACAAACCATGTCCGTACATTACGCATTCATATAATTCATCAAAATTTTTCTCGGTTGAAATATAAGCATTCCTATCGTCAGCGTTGTCAGTCAAATAATAAAATCTCTTAAAGTTCACATTATTTCTTTTCTTCAATAAGCCAATTACGCCCTTGTGTCTTACTATATTACAAATACTCATAGTGATAATTAATATGAGTGCGCAATACCATTTGACCGGTACTTTTAAAAATTCATGAGGGCTAATAAAACCATGCCAAAGTACATTCCTTAGGTTCATAGAATTTGGCGGTCCAATGATACATCTAAGGAAAAAAATCATCTCTTCTCCCAATAATAAAACAAGAGATGGAGCAATAAGCAAATCACGAATAAGTAAAGGTATAATAGATGTATCATCATGTAATGAATAAATTATCTATTAAAGTCAAACTTTAATAAAATTAAAAGAATAAAATAAAAGTTAATTTAATGGCAAAAGTAACTTACATCTCCCAATAACCGTTCCAAATTCGATATTACTATTAACATAACTGATAAATAGTCTTTTTCAAGATACAGTTCAACACATCTTCTAAATATCTAATAAAATAAAACTCTTTTAGTCCATTTATCAAAATACTTATTAAATCACAAGAAACGTACGTCACTGTTTCCACACCACCCCAATTCATCATTATACAACTTAAAAAAATCATTCGTTGATGTAATATTAGAATCGAAAAATTGTGAAATTTGATACGCAAGGATTTTAATTTTACTTGATGCTGCAGTGAAAGGTTCTGCTTCTAAAGTATCATAAGGAACATTAACTAGTTGACAAAAAAGAGTAAAAGGTAATATTTAATATTGTCTTAAAAAAATCAACATATAGTAATGAAAGTATTCACGTACTATTCCGTACCCCTATAAACGCGTTTTCTTTAAGTAAACCTTTTTCTATCGGAATATTACAATCCAACGAATACTTGTTCAAACTATTATTTTCTAATAACTGTCTAACACGGAGATTTAAACAACTTTGCCATTTGTTCAAAGCAGTCCTAATTTCTTCTTTTCGTGTAATAATATTAGATAATTCTTCAGTTTGTAACGTTTTACCCAGCCAGAAACTTCTAATAAAACAATTTGAAAAAGACATTATATACTGTAAGATACTGTAAAACGGATATAAACAGATTCAACAGATTCAGAATACATGATCTGTACAACATATTGAATGTAAATAAATTAAATAATTATTTCTTAATTTGGGAATTCAATTTTATTGTGACGCAGATTATCTCTTCACGTGTTGAGTTAATCCTGATTTCTGACTTGATTAATAATAACATGAAAAGCCATTTGAAAAAAGTAGGGTTCGGACTTGTGGGAAGTTCATTTGGCATCGTTGTCAAAATGTCTATAAACGGTCATTTTTTTCACGCGTTTTATTTAATAGGCCTGATATCCAAATAGGAACATTTGAACTAAAAGCCCCAAAAAGATATCGTGCCTTAAAGATTCAATCGCGCGGCCAATCAAGACCAACACTCACGTACTTGTGCAGGTTCGATTTATCTCGAAAAGTATATGATCGTCATTATCATCACTGTGTGACAAAACCAATTATGTATACCACTATTCTTTGCTCGCCTTACTTGTTCTTCTCGCTTTTAAATGGCTCAAGTAGTGAGACAAATACCAACAAATTCACAGTCACATGCACCAACAACAGACGAAAGTGGTTATATTGATGAAGGCTACCTTAATAATTTAACTAGGCGTCTTGGTACAAGACCATCGGTACAACAATTTAACGGAAATAACAATGCAACACGAGAAATAAATGGTCAACAACAAGGTCAAGAAGAAGCCGAGGACACTTTATCCGATGTATCTGATTTTGATGAAGAATGGGAAGAACTTGTTCAACAAATGCAACAAATTTTAGTTGCTTTTTTACTTCCTTGGTTAGGACGTTGGTTAGGAAGAAAGTTCTCTTTCTGGGGTAAGTAGAACGGAGAACATGTTTTTTCGTGAGCAAGTTACTATTTTGATTTGTATATTAATTTATTTTTCGAAATAGCATGGTCAAGATTCGTTAAATGGTATTATTACCCGCGTATTACTATTAAAGCAAAAATTGAAACAACAGAAACTACGATTTAATCGCCATAATAGAGAGGAAAAAAATGAAATTCATTCAAATACTCTAAGTTGTTATAAAGGATAACTTTGTTTTATGTATTCAAATTTATTTTATTTTTCTTTTTTACGCGACTAATGCAATTAATTTTTTATAGTTACTAATTATAGAAAAGCAAAATCAATTTTTTAATATATACCCTATAATAGTTATTAAAAAACGGGTGATTTTGGCAAACTATACGCATATTTATTGCGAAAATTATACAAAAACTTTAAATTTCCGATATATATTTTTCTTTTACTTAATTTACGAAATAAAATTTCGAATAATTCGCGATAAAAAAAATATTTTCAAATTACTTATTTTGTGTATAAATTATTATTTATTGATTAAAAGAAATAATTTTGATTTCAAAATCACTTTATAAGGGAAATCAAATCTGAGAAAATATATTTTTCTAGCGTTGAGAAGACCATACACTTTTAAAGAGATAAGATAGAGTAATGTTAATAATGTTATTTAAAATACACAAAGAAATTCTTATTTAAATTAAATTAAAAGAGAGTACATACTTTTTGAGATCTTTTGAATGAATGGAAAATCCAAAGAAAAAATTAAATTAATATTTTCATTAAAATCATAAATAATACAACTTGAAGAATCTTGATCTACTTACATCCATCCGATGTAGCAAGACGATTTAAAGAATCATCAGATTCTCCTGAACTACGAATGAAACCACATAATTCATATCGTTTAAAGCTGTTATTTATGAAATGACCTTTTTCATCAACATCTCCAACATTAATTTGCACTGATGCGTGATCTTTTGCAGTAATAAGTCGATTTGTGGCAGAACTATAATATCAGCCGATTATTTTCAGACACGTCAAAATAATTTTCGTTGACAAGAAAAAGAAAAATATTAACCGAAAATTTACCATTTTCTTGGCTTGTAAAGATCAACTTGGATACCTTGATCGTTTTGCATTTTTGAGAAACTTTTTTATTATAACGATATAAAAAAAAAACTTGGGGAATAATAGTTTTTTTCTGTTACGTTGTACAATTTTTCTCAAGTGTTTAAATGATGTACATTCCTTGGCCAATCACCAGCTGCCACACAAAAACTAAGATATATACAATTCTTGCTATTTTAAATTTTTTGATCTCTTTCTTTTTTTAATACATTTTTCGATTTTCAACTAAAAATGTCAGGTCTAGTAAGTATTTCTCCATTTAATTTTTCCTTATATCATTTTACATTTTAAATCAGCTAATGTCTTATTTGTACTTTTACTATATAGGCGGATTGGCAAGTAGCGAAACCTTACGAGGCACCAATACCACAAATTTTATTTCCTATATTAGCGTTTATATTATTGTTATTAGGATTTATTACAACAAGTACTTTCTCTGTGTATCCTTTTATTATTTTTAAAATTGATTTCAAAATCGGGTTTACATATATTTAATCTTTAATAACAATCTTTACTTGATAATAATTATAACAGAATAAAAGCAAAAACTTCATTAATACAAGAAATTTCCTCGGCTATTCCTGCTTCATTATTATTAGGATTTGGAACATTATTTCTATTTTTGGCCGTTGGGATTTATGTTTAAAAAAAAACAAAAATATTAATTATATTAGATAATAAAACCTGTTAAGACTTGAGATAATGTTATTGTGCATATAATCTTTTAATGTAGTTAATAATCAAATCCACAAAATTTATGTAAAAATAAATCATAGGCAATAATTTTAAGTAATAATAACATAATAGCTTTAAATGTTAATTCTAAAAAAAATGTAAATTAATTATACTTTATATAAAATAAATATAATATTTTGCATTAACCAAATAGATATATTTAAAGATTAGCCAGTAAATTTTCATAATAGCCTAATTATATTAATTATTAAATTTAAATATATAAATTGTATGAAATTATTATAAATTTTTAAACAAATTAAGAAATTAGGTATAAATAAATATAATTAATAAAGTTAATAATCAAAATATTACTATTTATACTATTATTTATACTGTATGCTTTCTTATAATATCAATTGATAAATTTCTACTATTTACTAGTATTTAATGTTAACAATAGGAAGATTTTAATTAAATTAAATTTAAATAGTATATTTTACATTATTAATAATAAAATTTATAATAAAATATATTGTTTAATTTATTAACAAATTATAGTTATTTTAACTAATAAGCATCTTATTTTATATGGTTTAGTTTATATAAAATCATCTAATTCTATATATGATTAATTATTCTAAACTTTTTTTGCATTTTAAAGTTATAATGTACAAAATGTACAATCAAATCAATCATATATTAAGTAGATCATATTTAGATAAGCAATAAATAATTTTATAAAAAATTGTTGATTAATAATTTGCAGAAAATTATACTCTTTAAGCTAGTAAAATGACATTATTTTAATATTTTAATATATAAAGTTTACTTTTATCAAAATTAATTATAATAAAACTTTTTAAATTAAAAAAATTAAAACTACTATCAGATATTTACTATATATATATATAATATATTGTATAGCATATATTAAAAATACTAAGATATAAATGCTAAGAGTTAAGTTTGATAAGTTCATTAATTTAGTATTTTAGGAAGCATTGAATTGAATCATGTGAGATTTCAATCAAACTCCGTTTTTGGATAATTGATTTTTATAGTCTTATTAAATGTAAATTTAGACATTTCCTGTATCATATGATTTTATCGTAATAAAGTTAGACAATGAGGATTAAACAAATAAATAATAGTCAAAGGTTGACACTATTTACTTGAATGTAACAAACCCGATCTATAATCAAAAAAAAAAAAAAAATGCTGCGCATTATGAAAGATTATTATGCATAGATCTGTCGATATCTCCAATAAAAAAACGTTTCATATGATTATCGGAGATTGGAACAAAACGCCGGTAATTGTTACAATTCTTTTTGCATGACTATCAACGAGAAAAGTTCCAAAAAGAATGAAACCCCGGGTAATTAATCTAAATAAATTACTTAAATGGCGCAGTAACATACGTTAAAGAGATGTCAAAATATATCTCACTGTTGCACGAAACAATATAATGATGAATGAGCGTCAAACATACACAATTAATTCATCCGAAAGAAATAAAGCAATTAGGCGTTCGAGTGACAGGCGGTCACGATGAAAAAAACCTTATTTTCCTTTTTTTTTTCCCACTAAAAAAATCTTTTTCAATTAACGCAAAGTAGTAATAATAATGTAGCCTTTGTTGCGTGACACGAGAATTATTATATTACAATACATTTTTTACCTTTTAGTATCAAAATAATATTATATTACATATTATATAAAAAAAAAAAAAAAAATAACTTAATCATTGATAAAAAAGAAATTTCCAAATCCAGACTTATTCGAGTACATTGTGCTGATTTCTTTTAATATTTTGACGTAATATTTATTTATACAGAATTTGCATAGGTTATTTGGTGAATTTATTCAGGATCTACATATTCACATATTTAATCAAATAGAGGGTCCCGCGATAACTAAAAGTATTAATAAACAGGTTTTAATTTCAAAAATGTTAACCGTAAAGTTCTGACGTATTTCTAAAAAACCCCATTTTGGTGTTGTATCTAAATGAAAAAGTGAAACTGTGAAACCTTAATTTTTATAAATGGAATTTGTTTTTTTTTTCCTGATTATACTGCATTTTTCTCATAGTATACAGGTGTAGGGTCGTACATAAATTATTAGAAGTGCTCAACATTTTTTTTTTTTTTTCGGGCAGAAACTAGAAACTAGCAAATTTTTCATTTTACGTTTACAAATTACACTTAAAATTTTATCTGTTAAGAAATTTTCATTTACAAAAAAAAAAAACAACTATCCGACCTGTGTATTTGTAAAATTTACCATTCATTTTTTTTCTATTTATAACAAACGACATTACTTTTTTTTTACTTTTTATAATAACACTTTTCACACGCACGATATAACATATTTATGTTATCATGAATAATTATCTACGAAACCCTCGCTTCTACCATCAGTCAGAGCAGGACTCTGAGTCTGCTCTCGTTAGTAGAAATACCAACGAAACAGGAAAACGTTTGGGTGGAATGGACGAGCACCCCATAATATTAGACTTCGAAAAAGAAAAAAAGCTCTCAACGGATATGTCAATACTTCATAAGGTATATTAATTTATTTAAAAGTTTTCAAGTTTGTAAGGAAAAAAAAAGTTACATTAACGTTGTTCAAAATGAATTAAAAATATAATAATAAAACATACATACATGCATATATATGTGTATATGTTATATATATGAATGAACTCTATCAACAATAATAATGATTTTTTTTTTCAATCAAATTCTTGCATTTATTTCTATATATATTTATAAAAAAAAAAGTCATTACTCCCAACAAAGGAGTCTCACGAAAAACGCAAAGAACTCGCCGATAATGTTAAAAAAGTATTAAACGATGAATTCCCAAATAAAGAAATAGAAGTACATATGTTTGGGTAGATATCTTTTAAAACTTTTATCATAATTCTCAATTTTGTCATTCGAATATGAAGAAATTTTGTTTTTATTATATATGTATATATATATATTAATTAAAATTTTTTTGTTCTGTTTTATTTGATTTTATAAAGTTCCTCCATGAATGAACTCGGAACAACACAATCTGATGTAGATTTATGCGTCACAACACAATGGAATGGACTAAAAAACATACATGTTTTATCTGATTGTTTAAAGAAACGTAATTGTTTTTTATTATTTGACGATTGATGTATTGTCGGTTGAAATGAAATAGATATATTTATGAAAAAAAAAATTTTTTTTTTTCCCTCTTCAATAATAAAGACATGAAAGTAGAACAGATCGTATCCAAAGCTAAAGTACCTATTGTAAGGTTATTTGATCAAAATCTGTAAGTACTGATGTTTGCTCGTGATTACAATTTATCTCTTTCATTAAACAATTAATTTTTGATTTATTTTTCATTTTGTTTATTTTTATTTTATTTTTATTTATTTATTTATTTTGATAGAGATTTGGCCTGTGATATAAATGTCAACAATACTTTGGCTTTACATAACACACGCTTAATACGGAAATATGTAAGCATTGATCCAAGAGTACAACCATTGGCAATGATCGTAAAACATTGGGCACGAAAAAGAGTTTTAAACGATGCAGGTAAATTAAATCTAATATCCAATTTTAAAAATATTCTATTTTACAATTTTTATACTGTTATATATATATTCTTCTTTTCTTTTCTTCTTTTCTTCTTTTCAGCGAAAGGTGGTACCATATCTACATACACTTGGACATGCATAATTTTGAATTTCCTCCAAATGCGAGATCCACCGATATTACCAATTCTTCATCAGATACCACATAAAGATATTGATCCAATAATGGTAAACGGCGAAGATGCATCATTTTATGAAGATGTGGATACTTTATCGCAATTTGGGTCAAAAAACAAAGAAACCATAGGTGGTCTATTGTTTGCGTTTTTCAGACGGTGAGCTTTTATTCATATATTTGTATATATGTATATATGTATATGATTTTTTCCCTTTTTTTTTTGATGAAGAAATTTTAAGTTAATCATTTGTTTTTTCTTAATAGTATGGCATTTGAATTTAATTATGATGAACATGTTATATCTCTACGACAAGGCAAATACCTTACAAAAGCAGAAAAAGGTTGGGATACATGTAAAGGCTGGAAAATGTTATGTGTCGAAGAACCCTTTAACACGGCAAGAAATTTAGGAAACAGTGCTGATGACGTTAGCGTCAATGGGTTAATAGCAGAATTTAAAAGGGCTTATGAAATTCTTTATGAATCTGCCTGCTTAGAAAAATTATGTGAACAGTACCAATTTCCTTTAAATCATTACATTAATAACAACTATTATCCACCTTCTCGTTACAGACAACTATCAAAACGTAACAATAAAAACAATCCTATGTGGAAGCCAAATCGAAGAAATTATTATCCGAGATATCATCAGCAGAACGGGCAGAATAATTGCTTGAGTAATACTACAGACAATCTTCATGATATGAATGGGAAAAGTAATGATCTTCAAGATGGTGAGGAAGATGGATCTAGTATGCGTAGATTCGATAGCGTTTCGCATACCAGTCATTATAACGGTAGTGAAGAGTCTACTCCAGTATCAGTTTACTATCATTATGAGAATAACGATAGCTTAACACGAAAACAATTTGATAATCTTCAATATCAAAGTAAACGTTATAATAATCATCATAATGTATCGAAAGATGATGAACAACTGCGCTCTCAATCAAAGCAAAAAAATAGTTTCTATTCAAAGAAAAGGAACGATGATCAGTCCCATAATTACGGACAATCTCAGGATTCTGAACATGAAGGGTTTGTAAGATATGTTGATTCAATTCCGAATCAAAATCAACCCAAAAATAGTTCACATAATAAGAAAGGTTCAGCGGCACGTTTTCAACCTTCTTATTCTGACCAAAAGATTTTTTATTTACAAAATACGATTACATTATATGACTCGGATAATAATATTAAATATAATAATAATAATAGTTATTCACGTCATCCTAATATTCATAGCGATTCGGATCAAAAATCTTTTGTTCATGATTCTGAGAAGAGGCCTTATTACAAATCACATTCGAATAAAAATGTGCACAACTCAAAACAAGTAGAGGAACCAATAATTGATGATTTATCTTCAAATTCAAATTTTGACCGTTCTAATCCTATCTCAAGCCCAAAATCGAATAATAAATCGAATAATAAGAATCGCTTTAATAAACATACGCAGCCACAACGACAGTATCAGAAGCCTACTGGAAATGTCGATTTCAATAATAATAATTATTCATGCAATAATGATAAAGTTGATGATAGCTTTTCATCTAATTCAATACCACCATCTAATAGTGGTAGCACTAATTTGACCGCTTCGTATTCAATGTATCATCAGTTATACAATAGACAATCGGGCGATGGATCAACTCAATACCAAAGGCGAATGTCACATCAATCATCGTCTGATGGTTCAAATAGTCAAACAAGTGGTAATACTAGTAATACTAGTAATACTAGTTATAGTAGTAACTGTACAAAGAATAATTATCAGAAAACTAGTAGTAATCAGAACAATTATCAACAAAATCATCAGAATAAGTTGAATAATAATAATAACAATAATAGTAAAAGGAGGAAGCACTTAAACAACAATAATACGAACGGTTATAATAATTCTGTAAATGGAAATTTCCGAACGAACAACACCACGAACAACTCTTCTATGACAATGGCTTTAAGTTACAACGATTCTAACCTCCAAGATGTGCCATTCATACCGTCTTATATTAATCAAGGACAAGGAGGACAACATGGCAACGATTATAATTTAAACTGTGATATAAATGGATATAAAGGCAGTAATGGCAGCTTCAAAAGCAATAACAACAATAGTAATAGCTCTAATAGCTGGAAGAGTTCAAACGGACATTATTATAATAAGACAACAAACGGTAACAGTAATACGAATAGTGGGATGAAATTAGCAAATGGTGGCAATAATCCTCCGAATCGAAGTGTGAATAGTAATAACTCAAATAACAATTTTTTGCGCTCGAATTGCCCAAATTTCAATAATAATTATAATAATAATTATATGAAAAATCAAAACAATAACAATGCTATTCCACATAAGCCAATAACTGGAAGTAACTATAAGCCTTTTGATGGTAGTAATAATAATCCTAATTCACAAATAAAGAATTTTAACAAGAATGGTGGTGGGAATAACAAAAAACGGACTAATAAGAATCGTACTGGCGTCAAGGCTGAAAATAAGGAAGATGGTGTTAGTTATCAACTGCAATACTCGCAGGAAGGATCAGTTCAAGAACGACAAAACAAAAAAGTGGGTCAAAACGGACAGAGCAATAATAGTGGTAAAGGAAAAGGTCATAAAAAACACCCTTCATGCCCCAAACAAAACGTTGCATTTCAACAACAATAAATGGAATCAGGAGGACTGTGTATTTTATAATGATGGATAATTAAGATATAACGCGAGAATGGTAAAGGTTATCTAGACTTTTTTATATTATATATTGGGATAAAAATTTAATAGAATTTTATTCAGAGAAAAAAGATATCGTAATTTTTTAGCGGTACTTTTTATTATTTTTATTATTATTATTATTATTATATTATTATATTATTATTTTATTAGATATTAGGTTTCTTTTTTCTCTGAATATTTGTAATATTTCTTTTTTATAAACCTGCATCATATATATATTTCATGGGTTGGGTTTTTTATTATTATATTTTTGTATGTAAAGTGTTTAATTGGCACAAAAAAAAAAAGAAAACAACTTTTTCTTCGAATAAGTTGTATATATATATAAATATAAATATTAATTTTGTAATATTTCACCAAAAAAAAGTTTAAATCATATATATATTTTTTTTATGAGTTAATTTTTATATTATTTATTTATTTTTAATCAGTGAAGGAAATAGAAATAATGGATACTGAGCGGTTGTATTTTTTTTTCATTATTTTATATATTTATTTAATTATAGTAATATATAAATATTTTTTTTTTATTTTTTTTTTTTTTATATATATATAAGAGAGATTTTTTAATAAACAAAAAGAAAAAAAAAAGAAGCTATACAAAAAAAAAATTAAAATTGATTTCTTTCGTGTTCTTTTTATAAAAAAAGAATGATAAATGTTTGAAATTTGATTAAATAAATTGGGTTTAAAACATTTCTTTCAATCAATCATCAATCAAAAAAAAAAAAAGCTAAGAACATATTATAATTACTAAATATTTGATAATAAAAATAAAAAAGTTCCCTATTTGTTTTAAAATGACACAAAAAAATATTCTAATGATAATATTCTAATTCTCAAAATAATTTTTAAAATTTTTCAAAAAAGAATCTATTTCGTTCTTTTAATATTATTAACTCGTCTTTTAAGGATTATTGGGATTGCTTGTAGTAGTTGCATTTTGTATACCATTAATATCACACCAACCAGCAATAGGAGCGCAATTTAAATACTTACACCAAGGACAAGATTGAGCGGGGTCATCATTATTATAGAAATTTGTAATTAAAAAGTAGAACAATAAAGCAGCTATTGGTAAAGCTATAATTCTTAATACCCAATTAAATCTTTTATGAACTTTGGAAAAAGTTATGGTAGGCATTAATACTAAACCCAATAATATACCCATAATAAAACCGCCAATATGTGAAAAGTTATCAATAATTGGTATTAATCCAAGTAAAAATGAGAAGATTATAACTAATAATAATTTAGTTAATTCCCAACATGGACTAACAACCAATTTCCAATTTTGTAGTAAGTCTATTAATAAAACACCAATTATACCAAATAATGAACCACTAGCACCCAATGATGGTATAGTAACACTAGAAAAATTAGCACCGAATATAAAACCAAATATACCACTACCCATATAAATTATACTATAACGCCACCAACCCATATCACTTTCAACTTGTCTACCAGTTTGTAGTTGAAATATCATATTAACTAAAAAATGTACCACACCTCCATGTAAAAATATTGGTGTAATAAATCTAAACCATTGATTTGGTTTACCATTATTAAATCCTCCGAGACCGCAGAGAGATTCTAAAGTACATTTACCTTGGGTTATATCAGGTAATGATTGATCAATACAAGGAAAAACTGCACCATCGGGAATTGATTGAAGGGGTTTCATACATGGTACAAATCTTGCTCCTAATCTAATAAGAGTAGGTGAAGCGTATGGTCCAATCAATAGATTAACGGATGGTTTAGTTTGAATTAAACTACCAGTTTCTTTTTGATTATATACGAATTCATAAATTAATAAAACTAATTGTATTAATGTGACAAGATAAGTAAAATATGGTCTCCATAATCTTTTCTTCTGTAATTGCCGTTGTACGTTGGGATCCATATATGCTTTTGGTAGTTTAGGATCATATAATGTCGGTGGTGGTCCTTGTACTCCCGCTTGTACAGGATTTCCACCGTCATAATAATTTCCCTCTTCACCTGGTGGATATGGATACGACCCTCTAACATTACTACCAGGTTGTCCGATATTACCTTGACTGTATCTCATATAATTTTCTTGTTCTTCTCTAAGTATTCTTCTTGCATATTCTTCATCACTTTCCGTTTCCTCTCTTTCAGTATTAGATTCATAGAGTGATTCTGGAGGAGGTGGAGCGCTTGGTGTAACGTTTACTTGTTCACTTCCCGGAGTTTTCCAGAAAGAAGGGTCTCCCGGATTACTACTAGTATGTTTTTCTATGTCACCATAACCTCCTTCCTGTTTGTGAGGGAAATATGACAATCTCGTTGGTTCTTCCATAGGTGCATTATTATTAGTCGTATCATGAGATTGATCTCTGTGAAAAAAACTATTCCAACTAGAATTTTTTTGTTGAGACATATTAAAAAAAAAAAAACTTAAAAATAAAACTTAAAGAAAAAAAAGCATAAAAATGTTTTCCGTTAGAAAGAAATCATTATAGAATGATATACCAAGAAACTATAAATAGAACTTGCCGACTTCCCCAAAGTTGCCTCATAACGGAACTTTGGCTGTGTATTATAATAATCTGAACTTGCCTAAATCAGAAAGGATTGATTTATTGATATTGCCACGATCAAGTTAGCGCATTAAAAAAAAAAGATAACGAGAAAAGCTATATGATCTTTAAACTCTTATATTAAATAATAAATCGATCTATGTTTGGTTTTATCTATATATGAAAGTTATTCTATTAATAAATAATTAATTTAAAACTATAACGTGAAATATTTTTTTTTTTCTTTTTTATAAATTTGACTAATAAGGTAGCATATTCTATATATATAATATATTATAG